TCTCAGAGTGGAATGAGAGTGGACAAATCTACAACTATTACTAATTTGTCTATGGTTACTGTCCCAAAGTACATTTCAACCTTAATCCAAACTCTAAACTCTAAACTTCATCCTACACACACCTGAACAGGGCAGGCAGCACTGTAAGAGTCATGTTCTTTGACTTTTCCAGTACTTTTAACACCATCAGACCTGCTCTACTCTGCAGTAGCTCCTGGACATGCAGGTGAATCTCGCTGGTCACCTGGATCAGAGACTACCTCACAGGTCGACCACCACAGTATGTGAGGCTGCAGAACACCACCTCGGACACCATACTGAGCAGCACAGGGGTTCCTCAGGGCACGGTCCACTCTCCGTTTCTGTTCACCCTCTACACCTCGGACTTCAGATACAACATCCTGCATCTGCAGAAGTTCTGGATGACTCTGCCATTGTGGGCTGAATCACTGGTGACCAGGAAGCTGAACACAGAGGTGTGGTAAACAGAACCACCTGCAAGCCAACACTGGAAAAACTAAAGAGCTGTAGGTGGATGACAGGAAGAAGATCAGCCCCCCACCCCCCACCCCAAAAAAAAACCCCAACCCCCAACCCTATCAATATCAAGGGTACTAAGGTGGACACTGTGGACTGCTACAAGTACCAGGGGGCCCACGTAGACAATAAACTGGGTTGGACAGCTAACAACACCAACACCCTCTACAAGAAACAGCAGAGTCACCTTTTTCTTCTGAGGAGACTCAAGTCCTTTAACATCTGCAGGACCATGCTGCAGATGTTTTACCACTCGGTGGTCTCCAGCATCTTCTACGCTGTGGTGTTCTGGGGCAGCAGGGTGAAGAAAGCTGATACCAACAGACTTGATAAGCTCATCAAGAGAGATGGTTCAGTTCTGGGAGTGGACCTGCAGTCTCTGACAGGTGTTTGAGCAGAGGATGCTGAGGAAACTGCTCCAGATCCTGAACAACACGTCACACCCCCTGCATGACACCCTGGACTCTTACTGCAGCACCTTCAGTCGTAGACTGAGACCACCGAGGTGCTCCACAGAACAACACAGGAAGTCCTTCCTCCCTGTGGATATCAAACTTTTCAACTCCTCTTTTCTACACATAGGACAATAAAATTAATCCTGTACCACAACAATAAACTCTTTAATGTTTCTGTATGAACCTGTTTTAGAACTTAATGTTGGTGTTTTTATATTCTCTATTATTGTTTTATATCTTGTGTGATTCCTTGTGTGTGTTCCTTTGTACTGAAACTCTGGCACAACAATTTCCTGCAGGATCAATAAAGTTCTATCTTCTCTTTTCTTCTCTTATCTTAAACGTTTGTCCTCCTGCCTAATTCTGAAAAGGGAGTCAGTCAATCAAAGTAATGTAGTTCTTTTCTGGAAATGCTCATTTTGAGTTGGTAAAATGTCACATGCTGCCTCTCTGACTCGTTTACTGATTTTTGCCTGTGCTACTTTGGTACTACAGCATAGTTATGGATTTGCAACAAGAGGGAAAAAACCTGTGAAGATTTAGAAGAATACAAAAGAGGCGTGATATAATTGGACTGAGGGAAAATCAGATGAGCTCTCTGGAAACATTCAGGAAAGATGTTATCTTCTCGTTAAGCTTTAACGCGTGTGCAGTGACCTTCTGACAGAAATGCATAAAAACAACCTCTGAGCTTCTGTGTTATAAATTATTCTAATCTTTGTTTTCTAATAATGAAATGGCCGTATTTGAGATTTTACAGATGTGTTACCATGGCTCAGTAATGAAAATGTTTGTCGTTTTCTTTTGATCCCCTCATTTAGACTTAGAACAAGGAAAGGAAAAGTGCTATAATGATCAAAGTTTGAATTTAAAACCACAATGTGTAAGTTGTTAAAAATGATTATTTGAACAATAGGGCAACAAAAAAAAACTGTTTTTATACACTGGTACATTCCTATTTTACAAAAAGTGTATTATTTTGCAAAATATTTGATGTGTTCTGCTAAATATATGTGATTGTTTAACTTGTGAAGGATTTGCTTCAACAATGTCCCTAAGCAATTGTTTTTACAAGCATTTTTTCAACAAATAAATTTCTGAAAAAACAGGAACAGATTTAATACTGAAGTCATTGCCACTTCTTTCAGAAGATTTAGCTCAAAATTACAAAAGCTGTCATTTAAAATTTTAATATTTTATTTACAACTAATTTAAAATGAGATGTCAATGGAGTAAACCTAACTACAATATGAAATGGAAAAAACATATTGGCACATCAGTGCTGCAGCCTGCTTGTGTAAATTGGCTCTTTATCCTTTAAAGTGAAATCAATGGCAGTGAGTGAGTGCTCGGCTGAGTCTCTGCAGAAGCAGCTGCAGAGACTCAGGGAGGTGCTGAGGAGAATAAAAACTTGAGTCACTTCCAGCAAAATGATTTCAATCCAGAAACACTTTGAGGCTTCATGCAGGTTTTTCATCGCAATTAGGGTTTGAGGCCCACAGGATTTAGACGGCACAAATCACTTTTACAAACAAACTTATTTACCACTAAAAGCAGAAAACTAGCTCTCTGTATATTCTCACAAAGCTGCTGATTTCCTCTCAAATCTTACGTTAAGGCAGGGGTCAACAACTTTTAAAATCAAAGGAGCCATGTCTGCCCCTCCTCTTACTAAACAAACCATCTGGTGGCTGCAGGCCTCTTTCAGCTTGCTGTGGGGTACATGGCTCAGTTGAGGGGTGGGGGGGGGGGGGTGACCCCTTCATTAGAAACCTAAAACAAAAATAACAGAATTAATTGTATACAGCTAAAAAATGTATGCGACATTAAAAATCTCAAATAAGTTGTAATTTGTTGGTATTTTTACATTCTGTCAAAATAAAAGTCCATAATCATGTAAATAAAGAGGAAAAATCTATTTACATTTATTTTGATCAAATTTAAACACCATGTAAGCTTAAGTGAAACTTTTTTATACTTGTGAAAAAATAATCCCACTTTGGAACAAGTTAAAGTGAACATGAAAATGGCTTTTTGTTCATTAGTGATATTTTTAGTGACTTTTTACATTTTTATCATCATTTACTTCAACTTTAATTATGTTTGATTAATCTTCTTATTCTTGTCATCGTAACGTTGATTTACCTTTCTGTTAGTTTGTTATTTATTATTTGCAGAACACCTTATTCCAGTCACTTGTAATCTGTGATAAATTAGCAAATCTGGATTTTCTTTTTTCATCCCAGCAATTCATCTTATGGATATGAAAAACCTTTAAAGTTTTCTGGAGGGTTTTTGATGAGCCTCACTGTGTGTGGCTGTTGAGCTAATGAAGCAGCTAACAGCTAACAAACTGCTAGCATGACCTGATTATCAGGTTTCTCTCCTTTTATTATTAGTTTTAATGACATATTTGCAAAACATATAGACAGAAACTTGCTTTTCTGTTTTAGTTATGAATATCAATAATATAAATTTCCATTATATTTATGATCAAAGCTACAATGAGTCGCTACAGACAGACCACAGACCCACATGTGCCCCTGGAGCTATAGTTATAACCCTCTACTTTAGATTGTGTATCTTAAATTGCAGCACCAATTTAAATATTTCCTTTCAATCTATTTAATTAATTAAAAGCAATGTATTTTTAGAGCATGATGCTGAAAAAGTCATATTCTGCTATAACAGATTAGTTCAACATGTCATTTCTGAATGCCTGTCATGCTGTTTAAGATATTACGTCAGTAGCACCGCCCCCCCCCCACCACCACCACCATCACCACCACCACCACCACCCCCCAGCTCACAAATGGTTTCTCAGTCATCTGCACACGCTCTGTAAGGAAGCCATCTCTGCCCTGCACCATGAAGAGGAGAAAGGAAGTGTGTTGTAGTTTGGATTTAATGTATTTTTGTTTGTTTTCATCACACATCTGGAACACCACATCAACATATCACATCTGCTTTGAAGGAGAGGAACACCCGGAGTCACTTCAGACACGACTGGTCACAAAGTACAGCTGGATGTGGACATCGGTGTGACCCAGGGCCGGACTTAAAGACTTTAAACCAGAACACACAGAGACCCCCAAGAGTATTATTTCAATATTTGTTAAAATATCATGTTTTAATTCATGAGGATTTTTAAAATGCCTTTTTTTATGTCTTTAATTCCAATCAAACAAACCCACGTCACTGGGAAGAGTTTTGTTGAAGTCAAAGACTGCTTTGTGGTTTCTGCTGAGTTTAATTCAGATTATAACAGTTTTAAAAGTAACATAAATAAATTTACTGTTTAAATTCTGACCCATAATGGTTTCTAAATATGTATTTTGATTTGTAGAAGACTGATGCAGTGTTCCTGTTTTATGCTTGTTTATGGATGTAAATTTAATCACAAAACATTTTTCATAAAGTCATAAAATCGTAAAAATGTGTGTAATTTAGTCCACGTTGGAGATATTGATCGCACATTCAGTGTAGTTGTAGACTGATCTCCATCACTTATTCTGAACATTAACAGACTGTGCAAAACCCTGTCTGTTAGCTAAATATCCATGAATCACTTGACAGATTTTAATAAAACCTCCAAGATATAATGAGTGGAGACACATTTACCATCCTGTTTCAAAATGGCTGCCACAGCCAAATGAAAAACACAAAAATGGCTGAAACTCTGACAATTTTACAAATGCTAAAATTAGACATAGTAGCTGAAAGTTATGTGCATAAATGCTTTTTTCCCCTAAATAATTTCATTTTAATTAAATACATAAAGGACAGATATGGGCTGTAATAATAAGGCATTAAAGCCAGGAGCATCTCTGCTCTGTGACTAAAAATATGTAAATTGTAATTTTTATACATTAAACATAATTCTGTGTGGCCCCCAAAGAACACACCCTCCTCAATCCTGCCCTTGTCACACTCATGTCCACACTTTCACTGAGACTGTAAACAACAATAACAACAACAACAACAACT